AAGGTGTCCTCAAAAGCTTCTGTGAAGCCAACTAGGATGGTGCAAGATTAATATTGATGGTTAAGAAGAATGACTTCTAGGCAAATTGGGGATGGTTGAGTTCTTAGAGATCATTGTGGTGATTGGTTAGGGAGATTTTCTGCCAATTTGGGCAGGGACAAGTTATGGAGGTAGAGGTGTAGAGTTTTTATTTTGACCTTAAGCTTGCTTTAACAAAGGCGTATATAGGCTTATTATTAAGATGAATTCAGTGGGTGGTGTCAACTTGATTAAGCAAAATATGGCAAATGATTTTCATCCTCATTTTACAATTTTGAGTAGCTACTGAAATATGAAGGATCAGCTGGAGCGTCATCAGTTGGTTCATACTTTTCAACAAAATAATTTTGTTGCTGTTCATTTAGCTAGCTCGAGCTACAATACGGACCTGGAGGTTTGTGCTTTTCATGATCCTCCTATGTGGATTGAGATGTTGTCGATGGATGATTGCTTAGGTTCTTCAAGGCTTATTTTGTCTGTTCGAATGTTGTTTCTTATTTCTTACATTTATAAGGTTAGGTATTCCATATGATCAACCTCTTCGAGTTCATTATTGATGTGTTTTCTCTCTATAACAAGGTGCTGCCGCAGGCGCAGCACCAGTTGAAGTTTTTGTTAGGGATCCATTAAATAGTTAATTCTGAAGAGATTGAATTAAAAGTCAATTAATCTTCCGGACATTGAGAATTCATTTGGATTTGAAATTAGCCACGGACTTCAAGGTTCATTGACCAAGACCTAAATGTGAGAAATTTTTCATTGTGTCTAGAACACGAATGGTACACCACGACTTGTTATATAAGTGGTGAGAAATGTTATTTTTTAAGTTGTTAATTTTTTAACACAGGTATCTTACTATTTATATAATGACACATAGTGTATTACCCCGTATTCCAGGTACACTGAAAAATCTCTCTTAAATGGCGAGAATTTAAGTTGTGAGACAACTTAAGTTCATTAAGTCCAAAAGAGGCTCATTGAATTCTCTAGCCAATTATAGAGGGAAAAGAGATTGTTAAGTGTGTCGCTAGATCATCTCAAATAGGCTCTTTAAATAAGCTTTTAACAACCACTTAGTATTACGGTCTAGTGTTATTTTTCTTCACTTATAAGTAAGAAGTCTTAGGTTCGATTCTTTCCAAAAGAGAAATTGAGTCACATTATTGATAGCCCATTGTGAGGTTTAACCCGTTTTCCATCTCTCTTGGACACCCACTTTGCTTTTTTTGCACACCCGTATTTCTTATTATTTTATTTCATGTATTTAAACCCGAATTCTATAACATTTTTTTTTGTACATCGATATTTTTACACTAGAAGGAGTGGGAGTTCGACTAAGCCACACAATAGGTAGCCTAATTTGTTATCGAATTCGTTATCCACGAAATTCGAGCCTAAGATCTCTTATTTCCATGTGAAGAAGAATACCACCATACCGTAGTATTGAATGGTTAATCCCAACAATAATTAGCAATAACTTTTTGCACCTAATTCGCTCCCAGCTCGTAACATGTGTTTACATCTCTCTGTCTATTGTTTTAATTCCTTTTTTAAGTTAGCTTCAATAGGTTTTTAAAACTAAAAGTTGAAATCAACGTTGAAGAGATAGACAAGGATTTGGATCCTCTCCTGAGCTCAGCATCCTGAGCCTGCTGAGCAAATCACATGGGCCATTGGAGTTTGATTCAACGGCTACAAACAGAATGCCCCTCTAAAAGTTATAATAATTGTAGTTGTTGGATCAAAATACAACGGTTCATGTGATTTGTTCAACAGGCTCAGGATGCTGGGCTTAGGAGAGGATCCAAATCCAATATACAAAAGGTGAGTGAAGTTGAACTCAACGTTGTACTTGATGAACACAGTTTCTTTGTATAAAAATCCTAGTGGCTGTTCAATTTGGCTATATAGGAATTAAGTTGGGTGTAGTCAAATTAGGATTTCAATTGATTTTTAAGTTATTGGATTTCATAGGATTATGGACTTCTATCAAATATATATGGATTTTGAAAGGTTTGAGAAGATTCGTATAACAAATTTTTTAATAATTTAATAGACTTATGCAGCGTTAAATCTTGGCCATCTAATAGATCAAATGATGATAAATGTGTCTAGGTCATAAATCTAACCAAATGGAGGAGCTGCAATTGGTTCATGCTCAAGAGTTGCGTCCCCTTCTCCAGATGGAACAACTTGGTGAAGCAAGAGTCAGCTTGAGTGGGCGTGGTGGAGATGAGATTCTTTTTAACCTTTTTTATACATGAAATTCACTCTCAAATCCTACTAAATCTGTTACTCAATGAAGCCAAGCGCAACTCATTGCAAAAGCTATTGCTTTAAAGGAAGGGCTTTTGTTTGCCAAGTGCAAATGTGTGAAGATGCTAATGGTGAAAGGGGATTCTAAGCAAGTCGTCCAGATGGTGCCAGAGATGTTTGGATGCCTCCTTAGCATCTTAAACCTATCATAGAGGATATAAAATGGTTGGCTTCTAAGTTTCAACACATCAGTTGGAAGCATATTTATAGGGAGTCTAATTTTGTGATGGACACATTAGCTCATTTGGGCCTCAGTGTTGACAACCTTTATTTTTGGGATTATTGTCTTCCGTTTTTGGCTATAGAGGCCTTTAATTTTTTTTGTATTGAAAACGGTTGTATTAAAGGTTTTAAGCTTTAATAAATTTCTTCTTTATCAAAAATAAAAAAATTAAAAAAATTAAACCTTACAAAATCTATGACATTGTGAACACCTACGGATTTGCATGGACTCTTTTTAATCCTAATTGACTACATTTTGATTTAGACGATTTTTTTTAAAATCCTGTTAAATCCTACTTTGACTACAGCATGATTTCAAAGTCTTTTAACACTCTATTGACTACACCCTAATTAGAAACTTAATTGACTACACCTCCTAAGATTATATTAAAAAGTCTAGTAAGTCTTTTATAGTAATTGTACATATGAGTGTATGTATTATTTTTCATTAAATGAAACTGAAGGGTGTCCATAGTAAAAGGTTGGTGTATACATAATTAATTAAAAATTTAATCATCACGAAGTGATTCAGTGGTTAGAGACGAATTTCACGTTTGTAATCCACACAACACGTCATGGGTTCGATTCCTAGTACTGGTGAATAACATGATGATGGTCAGGAAATAGTTGAAATGCCTCTGTAAGTCTTTCCGACCCCGAAAGAATGAAATGCCATGACGAAGCCATTATCTGATCCCTTTTTAAAAAATAGAAAAGCTACCTTCTCCTTTTAGCTTTCCCAACTTGCCTTCCCCATTCATTAGTTGACATGTGAACTCTACCACTAGTTAAAGCTCAATAATTAATGTGTTAAAATATTAATTATTTAGTTCCCATATGCCTTTCATTATATACCAATTTTTAACTTGCACTCAATACTTTCTTTAAATTATATAATTTTCACCGGAGCCATCCTCCTTCCTAGGGATGACAATTATAATTGTTAAAACCAATAACCATGGATAACCGTCCGAATGTATTAGATTTGGGTATGAAAATTCGGGTATATTTTGGTTATGGGGAAAAACCGTAAATAATATTTGGTTATGGTTTTGGATATGGTTATAGCCGTCCTCATCTTAAATCTTACTACCAAGGCCGGACTTACAAGTGAATTAGCTAGCAACCAATTCAGTTGTAAATAATTCTATTCTTCACATCAACCTTACGGTGTTGAAACTTAGAGGTTTTGTATTTTTTGTAACATATGGAGAACTTGCTCAACCATCAAAGGGGATCAAGGGAAGGAGTTTTCAAGGTGCCATTCAAGGAGAAGATCAAGCCCTTCCTCTAGGGTGATACACTTTTTCAAAACGAAAGTAGTAGTGCTTCAAGATATTGAATCCAAATCTCTATGTTTTGTCTTTAGGGTGAACCCGCGAGCTTAGCCATCAACCGGCCTTTTCTTGGCGAAGCCCACTGTCGTCACCACCACCAAAGTGAAGCATGCGGTCCCCCAAAAAAAAAACCTTATGAAGCACAGATATGGGAACGAGAGCAAGACTTTGGGAGAGGGGCGAAGCATTTCGTGAACCCTAATTTGGAAATGTCAGGGATTCCCCCCGATCGTCAAACCACTGCAAGTCGCGAGGCGTGGACTAATAATTGTAGCATGTTCCAATGTCAATGAGCGGCCCTCTATATTATGAACTTACTTCTATGATTGTTTTTCCAAATTCAAATGTTTGATCGAAAAAATTGTAATTGACCGTCGTTCCATTTTGTGAACAATGGCAACACAATGGTTGGATTGTCATAAAGTTTAAATAGAGGTATTTGAACTTTAATACTTGGAAAAAAAAAGATTTAATTAAAATTTGGTATTAGATTACATATTTATTTAGTTTTTTTTTAGTACGTACAACGATATATTTTACACTAAGGGAAGGGGGGAGTTCGGCTAAGCCACACAATTAACAACTTAATTTGGTATCGAATTCGCCATCCACGAGATTCGAACCTAAGACTTCTCACTTACAAGTGAAGAAGTACCACCAGACCGTAGTACAGAGTGACATACTTATTTAGTTATTAGATGTGTGCTTTTAATTCAAATTCCAATTCATATTCTATTTTTGTTATAATGTTTAATGTGTATAATATTCAATATCTCCCATTAAATATTTGAATTTGTTAATATACATATTTGAATTTATTAATTTTGTTTAACTTCCTCCAATTATATCCTTATAAATGTACATAAATGAGAAAACATTGAAAAAATAAAATAATGACACATAAGAAACATGTAAATGTATAAGTGTACCGAAAATATACTAAAAGGAATTGATGTACCTAAATGTTTGTATTGAAATATAAGATGTACCTAAATGTCTGTACCAAAATGTAACATATTAAATTAAGGTACTTAAATGTCTGTATGGAAATGACTATACTAAAATATATTAAATGAATTAATATACCTTGGTTATGTCACTTTCTAGGTTAAGCTGTAGGCCAGGCTCGAATAAAGGGCCTCCACCTCCTCAAGTAATTTGTTGGTTAAGCTGCATACTGCAATTATATATATTCATGTGTTATCTTTGAAGAAAATATATGTGCCTAATATCAAGCATATATACCATACTACTTCTACTATATATCAAATATAATATGAGCAAAAGTGCTTTTGTTCTGTCATTCAAACAGAAAAAACCCCTCATCCGCTTGTCATGTATTAATATTTTTCTCATCAATTTGCCACTTTCAACTACTACTAATTCTTTTGTAACATTGCAATTGCGATACATTGTCATATGAAATCATCTCCAATATCATATTTGGTATAAGCCATACTATAATAAGGTCTTCTTAGTTGTTTTTCAGGTTGCCCGCACTAGAAGAAATCTAGTTTCGTCCCTGACCTAAATGTTTGTACCGAAACATATTATAATGAATTAATGTACCTAAATGTTTGTACGAAAATGTTTGTGCTAAATAATATTATATTGAATTAATGTACTTAAATGCCTCCATCGAAATGGACATACCAAAATGTATTAACATACCTAAATGAATAACATGAAGTGTATTGGGATATTATATAAATGAAATTACTGTAACAAAATAAATATCAGAATATTATTTGTGGAACCCCCAGATGTTATTGGGATATTATTCCTCATTCTTATAATGGAGTGGCACTCGGCCTCGCCAAGTTAAGTTTGCATAATTGTTCTGATGTAGTTTTGTTTGAGGAACCCCCAGATGTTGTTTGGCAAGTTCTCAACCAAGATATGTTACTCCCTTGAGTTTATGAATAAAAGCAATCGTATTCTATTCAAAAAAGAATATAATTAAATGTAGTTAATATTAACATTAGGAAAAAAAAAACATGAAAATATAATTATGAGGTTATTAAATGTGTTAAGGAACTAAATTAGATTTTAATCTTAAGCTAGAATTTAGTTTAAAAGTCATATTTTTTTAAGAACTAAAACTCAGTTTTCTATTTTAAATATGTTATTGTTGGTGCTTTATGTGTGACTTGCATAAACTTTAAAACTTACATTTGTGAACGTGAAGTTTGTCGACTTCAGATCAAAGATTTTAGGGTTCCAAAGGGTTGACTTTCCCATCAATGTTCACCATAGCACGCTATCAATATCATAGCCAATGTATACGACTTAGACTTGACAGTTGTTCGACTTGAATCTCAACTTGACTGGTAAAGCAATAATTTGGGTTAAACAAAACGGGCAAATCTGCACACACAGCTAAAAAACCGATAAAGAGCAGAGGAAGAGAATAAAAACAAGGAAAAATCAAAAGACGTACCATATACCTTATCTCTCTATATTCCATTGCTTACATAACGCCGAAGCACAATCGGTTGGTATATGAAGCTGAACAAAATATGTTTGCCTTTTTTTTTTCTTTTCAAATAAAACCGAGCGACAAGAAGTTGAAATTGGCAGAAAATGAAATCAGGAAACACAGGAAAGCAACGAAATTGATTTTTCACTTTTGGAAGTAAAGCAAAGTAGATTAAGCTAAAGAAGGTTGCTGTGATGAAGAAACCAAAACGAGACAAGTGTATGTAATAAGAAGATCGGAGCAAATAATGAGAAATGGATGGGAAGAAAAGCTCTCTCAGCAGAAGAAGATGAGATAATGAATGCATGAGAGAGAGAACGTGGTAGCATAGAGAAGCCCAACGTTGTATGCAATTAAAAAAGACCAAGGTTAGAAAATGGCTGTATTAGTTGACGTATCGAGAAATGTGACAAAGAACGTGGTACGATAGAGAAGCCCAATGTAGTCTGCAATTGAAAAAGACTAAATGAGGACTTATTCTGGCAGGCATTTCCTACTTCCTAGGTAAGAAAATGGCTGTATTAGTTGGCGTATTGAGAAATGTGAGAGAGAACGTGGTACCATAGAGAAGACAACGTTGGGAGAGATTTTTCAAACCATGAAACCTGGAAATCTGTACAAAAGTTCTCATTCCATCTCTCAAATTATGGAGAAATTTTTAATTGTGACGAGAATATGGTACACCACGTGTTTTTATGTAAGTGGTGAAAAATTTTAATTTTTATGTTTATTAACTTTTTAATACACATAACCCACTATTTATACAAGAACACGTGGTGTATCACCTCGTGTAATGGTTACACTGAAAAATCTTTCCAAATCATGAAAGGGTCGTGGCTCCAAAGTTACAAAAACTCCATTAAAAACTCATCAACCAAACTCACTAATTCATAATCCACAAAATATATATACAATTATTCACAAATTTCCGATGGAAAAATTTTGAGGAAAAAAAGGTGTAGGGAGAAACCCACAGAAAAATTAATAATTTTGGAAAAGAGAGAGACAAATTCAAATTGTAGATTTACCCCGGACTTTTTTCAATTTCAAAATTCAAATCTTGGGTTGTTTCTTTTGTTTACAGATTCAAATCCTGGGTTTGCCCAGTATAGTTTGATGGATATTTGAAAATAGACAACCATGGTTACCAATTCTTAGGGCTGGTTTGGTATTGATGTGCTTTGAAAAAAAGCTGTTGTGAGAATAAGCGGCTATGAAATAAATCAGTAGAGTGTTTGGTAAACTTTTTTGTAAAAGTGCTTTTGGAAAAAAAAGCAATCTGATAGTGGGTCTTTTCATTAAAGGAGCACTGTAGCTCCGTGTGCTTTGAAAAAAAAAAAAAACCAGTTTTCCAAAGCTGCAAATAGTAGCTTCAGCTTTTTCCTTTGATTTCAGCTTATTCTCACAGCAGCTTCCAAAATAAGCCATTTTTTTAGTTTACCAAACACCTAAAACCCTCACAGCTTTTTTTCATGGATGCTTTTTTTTAAGCACCTCACTCCTAAACCACCCCTTAGTGTGAGAGAGTAGAGCTGTAAATTTTGGAGAGAAGAGAGTAAGGCTTTTACAATGCTTTTGGCTTCATCGGGAATATGAAAGGGTGAAGAACAGCAAGTGGAGAGAAATATAATTTTAAATTACTATTTTCTTAAGTTATATTAACAGTGGGACTCAAGGCGTGCTGGGCAAGTCCGACTGGACTCTCTTTTTGGTGCGAGTCCCACTAGCATTTGGGGCGAGTCCGGCTAACATTCTCCTTGATCTAAAGTCTACGGACTTTCAACTTCACAAACTTAAGTAATATGGTATAAGTTACGTTAATCAACACTTAATAATTCAATCATCAACAATCACATAATATAGTTTATAAAATATGATTTAAATAGATAATTTCCCTAACAATATGGTACCTTAACACAAGGTGAATGTTCTTCATGAAGAAAACCTCACAATAAGACCAAAGCCTCCAAAATGGTTCTTTTTCCCAACTTTGCAGTACTAAAATTTAGAACCTCTATTTTACTATATCTCCAAAAATTGTTTACCAACAACAACAACAACAAAGCATTTTCCCATTAAGTGGGATCGGCTGTATGAATTTTAGAACGTCATTCCGCTCGGTTCTGTACCACGTCTTCCGTTAGATCCAAGTACTCTTCAGTCTTTTCTTAGAGTCTTTTCCAAAGTCTTCCTTTACCCCTTTGGCCCTGAACCTCTGTCCCGTAATCGCATATTATAACTGGAGCGTCAATAGGCTTTCGTTTCACATGTTTAAACCACCGTAACTGAACTGATTTTTCTCTCATCTTTCCTTCAATTTCGGCTACTCCTACTTTACCTCTAATATCCTCATTCCTAATCTTATCCTTTCTTATGTGCCCATATATCCAACGAAACATTCTCATCTCGGCTACACCTATTTTATGTACATGTTAATGCTTCACTGCCCAACATTCCATGCCATAAAGCATTGTTGACTTTATTGTTGTCCTATAAAATTGTTTACCAAAAAGAAAAAAGATGTTCGACATAGGCTCAAACGCATTAGACTCTTAAAAGGATATTGTCGATGGACTTAGATTCTTTAATTGGCCACAATAGTACACGCTTAACTCATTCAAGTACGGAAAAACTGGATCATCAGCTAGAAAGGAGTTCTCATTCCCTAGATGCATCAGCTCCGGCATTTCACGGAGCCACAAAGTCTTTACATGTGGGAAGGGTCCCAACTGCTTGTATTTCCCAACTAGTATTTCCTTCTTGGGCAAATATTTATTTCCAAGGTGCGGAACACAAAAAGAGTGTTTTAAGCTTTTGTAATTTTTGAAGGAAAATAAATATCTGAGGTGTGCTGCCGGAGAAAAAGTTAAAGATGGTAGTTTGCTAAAGAAGTCCACTGGCAATGGACCATACAGTTTGTTGATGCACAACAAAACCGGAAGGTCTTGGAATAACGTAAATTCGACCGTGAATCTGTAAGAAAGTAAAGAACACAAGATGTATCGTGGTTTACCCCAATGTTTGGGCTACGTCCACACTGATGTTGATCGTATTTCTCTGTAACTGTATGTATGGATTACAAGTGTGAGGGGGAGTCCCACAGAGAAAGAGAGAGTTTGAGAGAGTTTCTCTGATTTGTGAGCCTTGTGGCTTCTGTATGTGAGGATGAGACCTCTTCATTGTGAGGGTGAGGAGACCCTTTTATAGACTAAAGGCTCCTCCCCTTTTACATGAATCATGGGTTCAATGTCTGGAAGCCCAAGTAACGAGGCCCAATATAATATGATACCAACAGTAATCCCCCAAGTCATCAGTCAAGAGAGTCTTTTGGCTGGAGACTTTGAAATTCAGTCTATGTGTGGGCCGAAGTAACCAGTTGTCGTCTAGAATTGATACTTGATATGGGGCGGTGCTCAATGTGAAATGATGCTCAACTAGAAGTAGCACATGTTGCGAGGCCGCTCAGCTTGTGGCTTATGTTGCCTTGGTTGGCTTGGCTTGTGGCGTTGAAGGTGAGGGAGTCCCTTTTTAGAATAAGGGCTTGCTCCTCAATACATAAATGATGGGCTAGAGTTGATGTTCACGGCGAGGCGGTTGCTCAGCAGGCGACGATGCTCCCTAATGATGGTGAGGGAGTCCCTTTTATAGAATAAGAGCTCGCTCATCAATACATAAATGATGGGCTAGCGTTGATGCTCACGGCGAGGCGGTTGCTCAGCAGGCGGCGATGCTCTCTAATGATGGTAAGGGAGTCCCTTTTATAGAATAAGGGATCGCTCCTCAATACATAAGTGATGGGTTAGGAGTGATGCTCGCGGTGAGGCGGTTGCTCAGCTGGCGGCGATGCTATCTAATGAAGGTAAGGAAGTACCTTTTATAAAATAAGGGTTCGCACTTCAATACATGAATAATGGATGCTCTCTAATGAAAATGAGGGAGTCCCTTTTATAGAATAAGGGTTCGCTCCTCAATACATAAATGATGGGCTAAGTCCCCCAAGAGTATTTTTCATGAGGCCCAGTTGCGGAAGCCTAATATTTGGTACATAGTGTAGTCCTCCAAGTCTTCAGTCAATAGAGTCTGTTGGCTGGAGATTTCAAATTCAATCCATGTATGGGCCGAAGTGGAGGTTGTTTGGAGGCAGTCTTTGTATACCGTGCACTGAAGCTTGTAGGTGAAGCTTTGAAAGTGAAGCTTTGAAGCTGGAGCTTTTGTAAATAAAGTTTTTGAAGTCAGAGCTTTGTAAATGAAGCTTTCTAAGCTGGAGCTTTGTACATGAAGCTTTCGAAGCTGATTGACATGATTGATGCTCATGAATGTTTATGTTGATTGACATGAGTGATGCTCATGGATGTTGACATGAGTGATGCTCATGAATGTTTATTTATGATTGACATGAGTGATGCTCATGAATGTTTATGTATGATTGACATGAGTGATGCTCATGTATAATTTTGGAGTATTGGACGTACTTTTGATCACCTGGTTGGTGATAATAGCGGCATGCTGTCGAATAATTTTGAAGTACTGGACGTACTTTTGATCACCTGGTTGGTGATAATAGAGGATGAACCTTAAGTAGAGGGATGGAGGTTGGAGTTTGAAGTCATAGGGCTTGGCTCTTTTGGGCATATGGGTCTTCGCCCTCCACATAGCATTCCAGCCCACTATTTTGGGCTTGCCGACATTTTGCCCATGTTTTTTTTTTTTTTTTTTTGTGGTGGATGGTAGACAAAAGGAATAATAATAGACTTATTATTGAGAAAGCTTATCTTCTTCTTCGTTGCTTTTCCTCTTCCGCTTGTTGGTTGTAAAGGTCAGTATACTCCAGCTGTAAAAGGGCAATATTCATTTCTCTAAAGTGACAGCTGCTTGGACAACCTTTCCGACACCACCCATTTTCTTTTCTTGATCTCCCCGCTCTAATAGAACTCACCCCTCTCTGACTCATCCCTTTCTGACCCTGCTTCATTTTCTAAGCACATATAATAAGCTATGACTCTTTCTCGTGAGTGTTTGTTCAGTGGGATACTTTTGCATGTTATCCCGTGGGTTTTTCTTTTTTTAGTGGGATAGTGGATGTCTTATCTTTGTAGATTTGCATGCCTGCTTTACAGCAAACACATCTTTAGCTTTTCCATATCGTCCACCTTCAAATCAACAACAAATTAGTCTCTTTAAAAACACCCACTTGCTCCTTTTCCTGTAGCTTTTTTCAAAAAAAAAAAATAGGCATGGGGTCATGCACAAAGCCCTGGCATG